TGGGGGGGGGATGTTTTGATGAAGAAGGATTTAGGGATATCTTCAAATCTAGGAGATGACTTCTAGATTTATTTGTATATTTATGTTTGAAGTTTGACTTGATATGAAATTATGAAAAATTAATTGAGAGCTATTCAAATACTTTATATTTCTTTTATTTTAAAAAGAGTTCTTTTAATTATTTGTGTTTTATTTAATTTTTGGTCATATAATTTATAATGATAGTATCATTATTTTGGTAATTTTATTTAAAAAAAAATAAAATTAGTATTTATTACATCATCGTCGACCGGTAGAACCGTGAACCTTTCATTCTTCCAATTTGTTGGTCGGTTTGGTTTTGACAATTTTGATTATGAGCGAGCTTGATTCAATTCCACCGAAGAATGCTTGGATCATTAAGAGTGTACGATTTGATTAAGGGCATATAAAATCAAATCCTCTCGGTACTGATTTGGCCCTTTTAGTGTCGGAGTATGATGCTGCTATCTAGGGGGAAGAAGCCCAACTTGGTTTTGCAAATATTTTATGAAGTACAGTATTGCCAGAACATTATAAAGTCTTACAAATTCATCATTGTTTGCCCTTGCATGTGAGCATTTTTTGAAATAGAATTGATCGATCTTAATGCCCTTAATTATAACTACTTTCTAAGCATCAAGCTGAATATTCTGTTGGGACTGCAGTATGGAATGGATCCCAACCAATTTTTTTATGTGAAATTGCTGAGTTGAAGATTACAGCACCTGTCTTGATGTTCTTGATAATTTTTTATTTAACGGTGTGTTTTCTTGATTCCTGGTGTTTGTTGACAGTGCAGATTACATATGCCAAGGCCTTAGAGTTGTGATTGACTAAGGGGTGATTATCAATGCTGTTTGCCAAGTGCAAGTAACGGGGCAGGTTTAATCAACAAGACTACCATGCTTGAAGATGGTTCCAGAGGGATTGGAATGACCTGATCTTTTGCTTAGGAGCTTTGATAGAAATTGAGTAATCTTTATAAATTTTGGGGAGTAAAAATGTCTCCATGCTTGAAGGAGTTGGGGACTTCATACGCACTTTGTTGGACACTCTTAACATACTTTATGAATCCATCTTAGTTCGGTTAGGAGCATAAACTAGTTAACAATTGAGAATCCTGTTAGGGATCGCACAAATTTAGTATGGTTGTGACGGTAGGATGCTTTAAATTGAATACAAGCCAAATTTTATTGAAAACTTGTACGAAATTAAAAGAGAAACTACATTGGATAACTTTTCTGCAGGCTATCTACATTTCAAACTTGAGGGATGATGATTTCTAATTGGTCTCCAAGCAGATATAAATTGTTGGGGTTGTGAAGAGTTGACTTGAGTGTGCTTCAGTCCAACTGTCGAAAGAGATCCCCATGGACAATGCTCCAATCTTAAAGATTTGAGTTGTTGGCACTGTAGGATAATGTTAGACATGATGGAGATTGGCGGAGTGACAAAAGTGGTGATTTATTGGTTGCTTTTGACCACGTTTGTACCAGTGGGAGTGGGAGTTGAAACTCGAGTTTTAAGTGAGGCATGCAGCAGGTCCAAGATTTGGTTGATACGATGCTTTTGATGAAAATAAATGTGAAGGTTTCCAGCAGATTTTATCAGTTCTCCTTTAATAATTTGTTCTGAATTAGATAAGGCCTATGTTATGCTAACTATTAACATTTTATTGTTTGTTTGCATTTTTTTTCAACTGCAATAATCATGGAATATATTTCTTGATGTATTATTTATGGTCGTACATACTAATTTAGCATCTCTACATGCACAGCGACGATATATCTCTGGAGGGACTGAAAGAGGAGCTGGAAGAATGTAAAGATGATGATGTATGGATATTTAATTATCATTACTTGATATGTTATATGTTTGTTACCTTTAATCGAACTTATTTATGCTTGTTTATTATTGTACTTATGTGAAAAGTTATTGTCATGTTATATTGCTTTCGCATGATGACGGTAAAATTTCCAAAGCCCGAGGTGCTGTTGGCGAACTTTGGATATTATATTGAACTATAATTTTTTATATTATATGTAAGGAAATGATGTTGGTTTTTATCTCTTATATATTTACCATGGTTAGGGTAGAAAAACTAGTATTGGTGTAGGTGAATCATTTCTATCTAGGCAACAACTGTTGTATGGTTTGTCACTTTCTTTCTATGCTTCTTATGCTGGGAATCAATCTAAGAACTGTTCGACTGGTTTCACTACTAATGCTTTACCATATAAAAGGAACTTCCACCGATAATTATAAATCTGTCATACAGGGGTGATATACGTTTCTTTGCTCACACGACAAGGATCATTTTGTAATCCATATTGACTCTTAACGAAGAATTAAGTGTGCAAAGAGCCATCTAGAAGGTTCTTGTTTTCTGGGATTTTTTTGATAAATTTACATCATTATTAGACATTTTATGGATATTCAACGTTTGTGGATTTCTATACAGAAAATATGATCAGCTGCCATTCTTCCATTCATGTACATCATTAGGACTAAGTTCTTGAATTTGAATATAGTTGAGGATATAGGTTTAATAGCAGTGGATATCAAACTGACTTTTTCTTAGTAGTCTTGAAGCTCTTAATAGGAGACAATGGAGAAAAATGATTCATGTAGCCTCATGTTGTGGGATAAAGACTTAATAATATTGTTGTTGTTGTAGTCTTTTCTTGGAGGATTCCTCAACCTTATTATCTTTGGTTGCTTGATATTGTCATAAGAACTTCTAATCTGACAACTACCCAGTCTTTTATTTGGCGAGTATTTATGGTTGAGTGGATATGCTCATTAGTTTTTGAATTTTCCTTGTATTTAGTTCAATGCCATCACACCTAGGCTGATGTCCTTATCCATGTTTATTTTCTGAAAGTATTCTGGTATCACTTACCATTTTTTTTTCATTTTTAACAGGAAATTGCAAACATACTTTCTAGAGGAACTAAATTGCGGGAGCATACAAAAGGTGTGGAAAATAATGTACGTCAAGTTGAACTGGACTCGATACAGGTCAGCAGAGTTTTCGTTGGGTTTTAACTCTAGTAACTTTCTATGGAGAATGCATGGCTGCACCTCTTCAACTATACAGTGAAGAAATTTTATTCACAAGGCTTTGATTCTACAATACAAAGGAATGAATATTTATACATGATGAGCCTGCTCTTTTCTAGGAAACAATTCAAATTACTGCACAAAAGATTTACAATGAAGAAACCTTATATTTTTCTTTGGAATCTTGCCAACATGGGCATTGATCCATGGCATCATTCTTTCCATCAGTGAATATATCTATGACATCCTTCTTTTCATTGTTGAACTGATCCATAGCAACATACTTTACATTTGTGATATTTTCTTTGATTGCTGCTGTTGTTATTAGCAGGGTTTTCCTTCTTATTTTAGTCCTCGAATTTACTGCAGCTTTGTTCCTTCCTATTTTAACACCTTGATTGTTAATGTTGAAATTACAATTGCTATAAATGCGTTCTTCGGATCTTTCTGTTTGGAATTTCTATCAACATTCTCCAGCACTCCTCAAGTTGATTGGTAGAGATGCATCATGTTTAGCTTATTTAGAATGATCTTGAAAGTAGGAACATATAATCATTTGATAAAAATGTTGGCAAGTTGCTATTCTGTTGGGACATAAAGAGTGCAAATTAATCTACTATAAACTTTTTTTTTTTAATATAACTTGTTTATTCATTTATATTTGTTTTGTCTGTTGAATTGTGAGCAATGTTAATTTTAGATTTCTTAATTTTTATCATAGTCTCGACCTTATAGGTTCTTTTCACTTAATCTTCAAGTATTCCAAAATTTATTTTTAGCCATAAAAGTTTTTATATTCCTTTTCCAAGTGCTTTGAACTTAGATTCTCCATTGTACCTTGAGGCAGCTAGTCGTTTCTCACTTTTTCAAATTACAAGGTTTCCGCAAAGTAATGTATAATATCCTCAGATCAATCTTGTCAATAAGACATCTTTCAGAATCAATATTTGTATGGCCTTCATGTCTTATGATTTTTTTTTTGGTTAAGAATATCCTCTTTCCAGGGTTGACTTTGAATGCCTAAGAACTCTATAATAAGCTAGATATCATATTCTTTTGACATGTGCATGACGTGACTTATTAGGCTCATAATAATTGCTACATTAAGCTGAATACGTGACAAATATATCTATATTCTGACTATTTTTTGGTTTTTGCTTTTATCAACTGTCGTCCCTTTTTCATCGATATTAAGGTTTTGGCCTAGTTATACTAGGTTTTCACATGACTTACAATTCATTATATTCATTTTTCTCTAGAAATTTTGATGATATTTTTATCTATGTTGCACCGATACAACTATTTATGAAAGTGTGTTGTATCCGATACACAGATACACCTCCGATACGGCACCGATACGTGTCGGATATGACTTTGCCGTATCCAATTAAAATACTATTTAATTTAAAAAGGATACGCGATACGCGTGTCCGTTGAAAAACAAAAAAAATTGAAAGAAGATATGTTGTATTTACTTCCGCGACTACAAGCGAGGTTCTCTTATTTTCGAGATGGATTTGAGTCTCTTGATGATATGGGAATATTAGAAATTGGTAATCTTTCACTTGATGAGTCTGAATTAAAAGCTATGATATTTATTGAAGATGATATAGAAGTTCAAAGACAAACCAGTGAAGAAGCTAATCATATCATTCATTCTATTGAATAGTTGAAACATATTTGCTAGACAATTTATGTTTATGCTTTTGTTGTTGTACTAGGCATTTAATGCTTACTTTTATTTTGATATTATAAGCTACAAGGCTACAAATGATGTTACTTTCATTTTTTTTTTTTGTAATTTCAAGTATTATGCTTTGATTGCTTTCTTAATTTGTATGTATGATTTACAAATCATAATGTCGTGTCCGCTCCGTATCCGTATCCTGTATTTTTAGGAATTGAAGTGTCCCGTATTCGTATCGTGTCGTATCAGTGTCGACGTATCCATATCGGTGCAACATAGTTCTCTAGACACTACGATCAACGATCGCTAGTGTTCTAGTGTTGGTAGATTAAAACCTACGGTATACTCGGGACGATGGAACCATTAGATCTTGATTGGGTTTACCTCCATATTCCCCTATAATTGAGACTAAAAATAGCTAAAATTGTTCATCCTTAATCGAGAGTTATCTCTTACGTGTTAAGAGAGATAATTAACTATGAGTGCTTGCACTCATAGAAAGTAAGGACCCATATCTAATTAAATCATGTACTACCCTTAAGGGTAGAAAGTAAGGACCCAGATCTAATTAAACCCTGTACTACACTTAGGGGAAATCTAGTTAACAATAATCTGACTTAAGGAAAATGAATTCATATGTATGCAAAGCGGGAGTCTTGCCGACGCGCCGTTTTTCTTGAGCCAACAGTTTTGTAGATGGGGATACATTAAGTTTTTGAGACATAGAAGAAAGGAGTTTTGTTTTATTTCTCACAATAGGTTTAATGTGTGTTGTCATGAGTAATCATGGTAGATTAATTTAAGATGGAAATTTCTTGTTTAAAATAAATTTAAGTTTTTACCATGTGAGTGCCAGTTAGTTTGGTTGTTTAGAAGTTTGGAAGTTGTTGCCATGTTCTTGGAATGAAACCTTACCCACGCAAACATGCATCCATCCAATGGACTTTGGGGTGAATTTCATTCCATTCATCAATCCTCCAAAATACAAAGACCTGGCCTTTATATAGGCTCAACAACATACGGAAAATAAAAAGACTACAATGCCCTTGGGCAACAACAAACACTAATTCCCTCATAGGGGTACAAAGGAAAAGATAAGAAATATAAATGACATGAGTACAATAAGACATCAAAAATAAAGACTCTAAATCAGGGCCGTCGATCGGCGCCTCCGGCGATGGTACACATGTCGAAATCTGATGGCCCCATCAGGAAATTTCTTGTTTAAAATAAATTTAAGTTTTTACCATGTGAGTGCCAGTTAGTTTGGTTGTTTAGAAGTTTGGAAGTTGTTGCCATGTTCTTGGAATGAAACCTTACCCCACGCAAACATGCATCCATCCAATGGACTTTGGGGTGAAAAAAAAAAGAAAAAAAAGAAGAAGGTTCCTGCTTCGTATTAACTGTGCTACGTTAGGGAGTTTTATGGACGTTGTAAAATTAACGAGAAAACTTTTGATGCCTACCTTTTGGCCCTTTTGGCCTTCTCAGAATTCATTGGCAATATTTTTTGGCACGTATTGCATTTTGCTTTTTATTTTTCACTTTTATGGAAGGAGTCTGATGCAACTGTTTTGGCACGTAATGCATTTTACTTTTATTTTTTCACTTTTATGGAAGGAGTCTGATGCAACTTTTTTGGCAACAGTTCCTTGGCATTTCCAGCACGTGTTAAACAGTCATTTGAGATTCATCAAAATAATGTTTTAGCATATTATAGAAAATTTACATTTACATGATAAAAATGAATGCATTACGCTGAAATTTGATGCTAAACAAGGCCTCACTTGCTACACTTCTCATGCTTTTTCTTGGATTTATTTCTATTATTTTTATCATGAATTTTGTTTAATTTGAATTACTTTATTACAAAACATTTAGATTTAATTTCTCATGCGGTGCAGGATTACATCAAAGAGAGTGATAATTTAGTTTTACTACATGACCAAATTCGGGATTGTGACAACATCTTATCACAGATGGAGACCCTGCTTGGTGGATTTCAGGTAAATGCATACATTGGTTGATTTTCATGGTGTTTGATGTTTGAGAGACAATAATTAACTTCAATGCAAGTCTTTGTCTGTTAACATAGTCCTGATTATATTTGACTTCTTGTGTAATCTGCATTTTGCTTTATGAACCTTGTTAATAGTGCTATCTTTCAAAATATGTGAAACCTTAGGTTTAGTCTCTTATCGAATAGTTGAAAAACTTGTTAGTGTAAATAGCATGTGATTGACCTTCACCTATAGACTTAAGCTTTTGGGTTGAAATTGTGTTTGATCACTACTCTCTATGATTCATACTTCCTAACAAGAGATATCAAAGTTGATGGTTTGACTTCAATCAAATGGTTCAAGTTGTTTGTGACTTTTATGGTTTATGATTGACATCTATCATAGTTGAGCAAGGTTCATGAACATTTGACTTACATGATGTCTCTGCATGATTGAGTGGCTATTGGTATATGATACTTGTGATCCACATGGCGCACTCTTGTGTGATGGGGAAATTGTTAAGTCATATGAAGCTTTGGTGTTGGTCTTATATTTGATAATTGAAAAACATATTGGTGTAGAAATACCATGAATTGGTCCTCACCCCTAGGCTTGATTTGTTGGTTGAATATTGATTTGATCACTAGTGTATTTGGCTAGCTTTGGTTCACGGCTTCACGCTTCTTAAAATATATTAAAAAAATAAAAAAGGTTCACGCTTCATAATAGTGTCAATCTAGAACTAATTTTCATTTGTTTAATTAAAACTGAATGTTGAACTTTGTTATGAACTCTTTTTTTTGCAAATTGGATTATGCCAACAAACTCAGCATAGTGATTAATAGATTGTTTTTTTTGGTGAACAGACAATAGAATACATACTGCTCTATAAAGCTTTAGAAGTTTCATCTATTCTGTAGTCTCTCCTTTGGAGCTGTCTTGCTAATTTATCAATTTTTGTCCCTTTTAGTTTTAACCTTATCATCCTTCCACACTTTTCATGATGATGGGTTCAACTTTGCTATGTCATTTTCAGGTGGTGTTGTAGGTAGGTTTTTTATGTTTAGTAATAGTTGACTTATGTCTGGAATGCCATAGAATTATTGTGTTCGGAATATATAATTTGTTTGGGATTTTACCTAGATCAAAGAACATTTTATGAGCACTCAAACCTTTTCTAATTTGGGCTCTAAAGGTGAACACGGAAAGTATTTTATTGACAAACTATCCATGTTTTGGCAAATACAAGTCTGATGACTCCTAAAAATTGAATTATGTAAAGAAAACAAAATTTCGTGCTTCATTGGCTAAGAACTTATCTTATTTTGTTACCATCATAACCCACTACGTGTTTCCATCTACAGAAAATTACTCGTGTGATGCCTGTTAATTTGCACATGTATTTTGACTTAGGATGTCAGATGAGGCAAAACAAAATAAGTGGGTGGATTACTTTCTCAAGTTTTTTTTTTTGATAAACATGTAATACAAATTATCTACTATCAACGGGTAAACCTAACCATGATATTCTTCAAGATAGGAAATCCATATAGGCCAGTCTACAAATGAATATACACTGATTGGAGACAGCTTTCGATGGACAAGTGCAGGAAAATTTTTGTTGCTTAACGATTTACATGTGGCATTTTCGTAGTTTGAGTGTCGTTTTTCCACACTAAATGATGACTGACTGCGATGCCTATTATCATGTGATTAATAATTTTTACAAGCTTGGTCAACTTACTATTTAAAGGCCCGTCTTGCTTTGATTTACAATAATTTTGTCCTAACCATATCCCGTAGTACTTTGGTGGAAGACTAAAGCTATGTTGAATACCACTGGCTTTGAAATTCTCAATTTGAATTTTTTTTTTTAAATTTGATGATTATGTTCAGATTTCACATGCATCTTTTGTTGTAGGAAAGATCAAACTAAAAGTGAAACTGCTTTATGATTGCAAGAAGAAATTCACTTGATTAAAGGAATCCATTCTTAGAAATTGAAAACAATATTATGTTTGAATGAAATTCAATTATTTACTTTCAAAAGTGAACTATCAAATCATAAATTAACTTCTTTTTATTTTAAGGAAAGAAAAATCTCTTACAAAGATTTTAAGTTGATTCTAAAGAGAGTTTGACCAAACAATATAGAGTAACAATTATGGATTTAAATGAGTTTAAAGAATATAGTAAAAAGGGAGAACGTTTCTAAGATAAGGTGGTAGAATTTAAAAATTGATAAGTTAATAAACTTATTATAGGGTCAGTTGCCAAGCGAGGCAAGTTTGAATTTTTTAGTTGAGCCAAACTTGATGTAAGATAAGATGACTAGGTCATTAAGAAGATTGATGTAGAACTTTTAAAAGAATTTATAAATATATAGTACATTAGTAAGGAACCAAAGAGGCTAGTTGGAGAGAAGATGTAAAAAAGTTTCATACAAATGAACTGTGTTTTTAAGGAGTGCCAAAAATTAAATGAGGCTTATAATGATTATAAGGAAGCTAGAAGTCTTAGAAAAATGGTAGTGAGCAAAGGAACAACTATAACTTTTGATGATTTTCATGCAATAGCTTATAATAAAGGAGAAATTAGATAAATAATAACAAAAAAAGATATAAGAGATCAGGAGACTTGGACCAAGTTGAATTTATTAGAAGCGAAATGATTAAATCTTTGTTGAAGATGAAGACATTAATAAAATATGAGAATATTACTCAAATTAGAGTTTTATGAAGAAATTATTTTGGAAGATTATAATGAATAAAATAATGAGATATTTTAAAAGATTGATCTTAAAAGGCGAAGTGGAATTAGATGCAGAATGGTAAAGCTTTAGAATTAGATGATGGTTTTTTTAGATTTGGAGAGTTATGGGGGATATTATAGTACTTTGGTTAATAATTCTTTTTCATTAAAATTTTGAAAACTAAATGGGCATCAAATGATTGCAAAATGAAGTATTTTGGTATCAATATTTAAGAACTCAGGTGTTCAATATTGTGGTAATTATAGAGAAACTAAAATTGAGTTATATAATGAAATATTATGAGATAGAGTAATAATAACATGGACTTACAAAAATTATATGAATTTTGTAGAATTTATTTCATGCTAGGAAGGTCTATCATGCAAACAATTTTTGCATTTAGACAAATATTTGAGAATTGTAGACAGCAAAGGAAGGATCTTCATGTGGCTCTTATTGATCTTAAAAAAGCATGATTGTTTATCACGAGAATTGATTTGGTGCATATTAATGAAAATATGTAAGTTGAATTTATTAAAGATTTCTATTGAGCATTGATTAGCATTATAAGAAGTTGCCAAGTTATCAAATAGTTTCCAATTACATTAAGATCATTACACAAGGATATTTAAAATGTGTTTCATTGGTATATTTTCTTAAAAAATATAGTTCTAATGATTGAGAAATCTATTGAGTAAGTGGAAATTTAGACTAACTGATAACCTTTTTAGAAGATTGATGACTTAAATAGTAAAATGAAGACTAAAAATGTAATATGTAGTTTTAGTGAATGTTATATTAACAATTAGTATTGTTATAAGGTAAAGTGATTCTTTGGTATGTTGTATTTAATTATTTTGGATCTATTTTATAGAATAATGGATATACATTCCTAGTTTGAAAAGAGGCTTGCATATCTTCTAATATAAAATCTTATCCCTTCATTTAATATCTTAATATTAAATTATGGGCTTTCATTTTTGTTATATTTATTGTTGACCTACGTTATGCGTTGCAAGGCGGTACATATTAAACTGAATTGCAATTGATGTCAATTGCTGTTGTTGAATGCAACATTGTATGAAGATTGATTAAACTTCCTGTCCACTATTGAAATCATCGAATGGGTGCCTACTTTTCAAATTTTACTCGACATATGCATTTTGAATATTGAATTTATCGAGAAAGAACATCTCGCGCTCAATCTTACTGGATATGCTAAAATGATGGACAATGAACATGAAATTATTCAAATCGGGTTTAAAACACCCCGACCACTATCAAAGTCATTGAATGAGCACTCATTATAAAAATCAAGTTGGATTGGTGCATCAAGAGTGTCAAATCTATTTAGAAAGGATCTCTCGTACTCAATCCAATTGGACCGACGAACATGATGGACAACGAATGTGATATCACATGAACTAGGTATGAAATATGCCGACCACTATCAAAATCATTGAATGGGTTCCTTTTTTGAACTCAAATGATGTGTCCAGGGCATCAAATTTATCAAGAAAGGATTTCAAGTGCTCAATATGATACATGATGAAGATGATGGATTGCAAACTTGTTGTGACGTGAACCCGGTTTGAATCACCTCGATCAGAATTGAAATTACTCATATATCACCCTTGGCAAAACAACCATGTTAATTTGTTTGAAACATAAAAAAATGTCTAGAAAAGACACCCATATCGCCATATGTATCATACCAAAGCAAAATGCAAGGTTTACTTGCGCGAGACAATGGCATGTGATTTGAGATACGCAAGCGACATAAATTTTGCAAAAATCAGTGCACATTTTATAGAATATTTTCTAAAAAAAGGGTTAAAGTTAAAGCATAAAATTATCATGATTATTATTATTATTGTTACACTAAGTATTTTATATATAAAAAAAAAACTTATTATTATTATAAAATTAGGTGAATGCATTTCAAAATCATAGTTATTCTTATATATAAAAGAAACCTAACTATTTCCTATTTTATATATATATACTATATATATATATATATATATCACTATCATATTAATATAATTATAATGTATAATTAGAATTTCTTAAAAAAAGGTATAGAAAGAAACCTAGCTAATTCCAAATTTCTATCGAGTCTGTTTCTCAGCCCATACTTTGTTAGATTCCCCGTACCCTACACGGTGCAAAACTTGGTCACATCCCAATCCTCTTCACCCATTCTTTTTTAAAAGGGAAAAAAAGAAAAAAATGAACCTAATACCCAACTTAC